CCAATTGGGTTAGCAGTGATGTGAGTGTCCTTCTTGGATATGGGAATGGCTCTTTTGCAAAAGAAAGAAGATATTCAGTTGGCTCTCATCCACTATCTATAGCTGTTGGTGATTTCAACAACGACACTCGACTAGATATCGTTGTTGCCAATAAGGGTAGCAATGATGTGAGTGTCCTTCTTGGATATGGGAATGGTTCTTTTGCAGAACAGACAAGATATTTAGTTGGCTCTCAGCCATATTCTGTAGCTATTGGTGATTTCAACAACGATACTCGACTAGATATTATTGTCGTCAATTCGGATAGCAATGATGTAAGTGTCCTTCTTGGATGTGACTATATAGTTTTTGTTAAGGAAATGATGCTCATGACTGGAAATGGTTCCCGACCACAGTCGTTAGTGATTAGTGATTTTAATAATGATGATCAAATGGATATTGGCGTCGTTAATTCACGTGAGCAAAATATTGGTATTTTTCTTGGATATGGAAATATCTCTTTTGCAAATCAAGTGACATATTCACCTGGACTGTATTCATCTCCATGCTCTATGGCTGTCGGTGATTTCAACAATGATACTCGAATGGATATTGTCTTTGCTAGTTGTGACGCTGACAGTGTTGGTATTATTCTTGGATATGGGAATGGCTCTTTTGGAAATGTGATGCCGTATTCAACAGGTTCAAGTTCATCTCGATACTCTGTAGCTGTTGGGGACATTAACAACGATACTTTAGAAGATGTTGTCATCGTGAATTATGACCACAACACTTTAGGTGTATTTCTGGGATATGGTAACGGCACATTTGCAAGTATCATCTTATTTCCGTTGGAATATGGATCCAATCCATTCTCCATTGTCATTGGAGATTTCAACAATGACAGAAAACTAGATATTGCCGTCGCCAATAGTGGCACTGACAGTTTAAATATTCTGTTGCAGACTTGTTAGTTTTTTATTTCGTACTTTATATTTTTCTATCATTTACTTATTTTGTATGCTCTCATATCTAGTAGAACCATAGTTTAAATATTCAAATTATTTTAACTGCAAAAGATGCGTCTGTTGTTAGATATGATGATAAAAATCAATCAATAGCTAGCAAGACACGTTTCGACAAGTGCTAAAATTAAACTTATTATTTGCTTATGAGTGAATGATGTTAAAGAATTGTATAACTCTCCTATTATGAATTACTATAGTCAAAAGTTTATGAGAAAACTTTCATGCTGATAATAGTCATATAATACTATTATTTGAAAGTTATGATGAAAAACTTCCAATAATATTTAAAAGAGATTCTCCTGTAATCTGATGTGCATTCGGTTATGTCATGAATTAGGTAAATAAATCTACTGAAAACAGATCGATCTGTATATTTAAATAATATAAAACTATCTGTTGATTTCAACTTTTGCGTTTCAGCAACCGATTAAGTCAAGTTAAAAATTATATTTGATAGTGTGTTTGAATAATTTAATAGAATACAATAATAACACAGTTTTAATTTACGCCGACGCGTTTCATGTTTATTTATGTAAATATTGAAACACTGTTCAAGGTACTACATTATAATATGAATTACAGAAAGCAAAATAAGACAATGTACTATAAAACAACATTAAATGAAATAAAATAAAATGAAAAGAAAAGTAAGTAAAATTATTGAGAAAATTGAAAAGCTTGTGGTTCAATAAAAAGCTATTCTATAAGTGGAAACTTATTTCAAATTTTAGGATTATCAGGATTATCAGAAAAAGCATACACATTGCGATTAATTACAAGAGAGATAATAAAAAGAGAAAAAAAATAATAATTATGTATAGCATCTTGTGGGCAGTCATCACTACTGTAAATTGTCGATTTTTGAATATAATACTTTTTGGTAACTTTATTTCTGATTATATTTTTTATAGAATAATTTTGTCTTCAATATATAAGTTATAATGTAATGCAGGTTTCGTGCTTCGTTTGCGAAATTTAAAAAAATTAATTATGAACCAAAATCATAAAGTTTAATATTGGACTTGATTCCATTAATGCTATATTTTTATGGAACAATGAAGAACAGATTGACTTATATGCTTATCATACAAATCAATCTGTTATTCTCAACTCTTGCTTTTCAGCAACCGATCAAGTCAAACAATAGATTTATACTAAATAAATGAGCTTCAATTAAAATAATGAAATACTGCAGAGTTAATTTCGTCGACGCGTTTCGAGTTATTTATTAAAATATTCAAACGCTCATCAGAGCTCTGCATGATAATTGATAAAAAATATAATAAATAATAATTAAAATTACAAATATAGAGGGCAAAAATTAAAAAATCAGATAAAATATAGAGAATATTTGGATTAGATTGTAGAAAAATGTCGATTAGCTTATTGACAAGCTAAGTTTATATGAAATTTAAAATAATAGTACAGTTTTGAGCAGGACAAAATAAATTTATGATAAATTGAAGAGGGGCACAATAAAATGATGAAAACGTTGAGATTGTACAGCAACAGACTTTTTGAGAAAAAATAAATTTTTTCGAAATTTTTTTTTTTATGCACAAACAGACTTCTTGAGTAAAAATAAATTTTCTCGACAACATCTGAAATTTTTTTGAAAAATATTTTTTTCTGGTCGGTCCAAAAAACATTTTTTTTTTCGAAAATTTGTTTTTAATGCACAAACGGAATTTTGAGAAAAAATAAATTTTTTTGAAAAATTTTTTTTTTCTGGTCGGTCAAAAAAACGTTTTTTTTTCGGAATTGTTTTTAATGCAGCAACAGACTTTTTGAGAAAAAATAAATTTTTTCGAAAATATTTTTTTTATGCACAAACAGACTTTTGAGAAACAATATATTTTTTCGAGGACATCTGAAATTTTTTTGAAAAAATTATTTTTTATGCACCCATGAACAAAACTTTTATAAAATTTAGCGTCGAAACGCGTTTTTTTATTAGCTCGCATGTTTTCGCTAGACTTTAAACGCAGTTTTTAAAATGCGTTTAAAGGCATTTTTTGCAGTAACAAAAAGCGTTCCATAAGACTAACAAGACGTACAATTTTTGAACAAGAAAGTATTATTTTCACCTAAATCATTGTCTGCAACGCGATTTTCCAGAATTCGTATCTCCTCTGGGAAAATATTCGTATATCGATCTACTGTAGCTGTAGTTCAGACTGAACGCGTTGCAACGCATCTATTTGCTACCGTAGAGCAGATTCGACCAGCAGAACTTATAATTACGAAGTCTACCCAGGCAGACAAAAAAATTGAAAAACGCGTTTAAACGCGCAGAGATTTTCGACCGTGTCTGGCTGCCAATCGAGGTTCCCGACTGTGTGTCAGTAACGCCCAGTATAGGTAGACGTCAAAACGGTCACTTTTTCGCGCTGACTAAAATTCAAGTATGTTCACTGCACTAACATATAATCATTTTCACATTCACTTCTTCTAAACATTAGCGAATCACAATCGGGAACCGCAATTGACAACCGATCACGATCAGAAAAATTGGACGTTAACATAATCCTTTTTTTCAGTATGCTGAAAATCTCTAACATTTAAATGATTCATTTTCTGATGCGGCTTAGGATTTAGTTTTCACTCCTGTTTCTGACTCACAGTCGGGAACCGCGATTGACAACCGGTCATGGCCAGAAAAATTAGACGTTAACATTGTCCTTTTTAAACTATGTGTAGAGTCTTTAACTTTTAAACGCTCCGTTTTTTTAAGCCGGTTCACATTTACTATTCCTTATCGATTTCAACTCATAAGTGGGACTCGTGATTAGCAGTCGCAATCAGCTATCTTTCTACAGTATTAAAATGTAAATAATAGTACGCTTAAAGACGTTTTTGGGTCGCAGAAATCTATGCGTACTACCATGTATGAGTTCGACTGTTTCGATCTCATAAAACATAAGCTACTGCACATCACGAAATGAAACGAAACTCACTGAATGTTAAAATGCTCAAAAGCAACGTTTGCAGTCGAAATAGGCGTTTTAAATATTTTACGGAATATAACTTAAGTCGAAAAAAAGAAGCAAGATCTTGCATGATCGCATAAAATGCAACACAAAAGTGGGAGCTCCAAATAGTTGCATTGAGTCTATCTCTAAGACTCGTCACACATCTTGTTGTATTGTCACATATGACGGTAAGATACAAGAAAAACTTATGCAACGATAACATTTTACAAGAATCAAAAAAGAACACGAGAAAAGATTTCCTAGAGTCTGATTCTTCTTACGATTTCATATAACCCTCAAACATCTAATGTATAACTTTTATGACTAGGGAACAGTGTAAACATCCATCGGCTTCTTCATACCATGGGCATAAGTATAAGCCACAAAGAAAGGACTGCAGATTCTCACATTAAAACTCCCTATCAGCTGTAATAGCAGACATTAACCGAACCATTAGGCCGAATTTCGCTCATTAAAAGCTCAACATTTCACAGCGCACAACTGATTGCAGAAATATGAGCATCAGATGAAGCAAAAAAAGCTTTAATTGATAGAGCTTAGACTTTTCAAATCAACACTTGCAGCTTTATCCACGCAATCTGACAGCAGACGAAAAGGAAAAAACGAATTCATAAACTAAAGCCAACTCACCATCATTTGTTTTACAAGATCCACCGAAACCATAGACATGATTTTGAATTTTTGTTCACATGTTCGAATTCAGCACGACATTAGGATTAACATCAAAACAACCTAGAATGACATATAGCAATGAAAATCAATACCCCTCATATGCAATCGAACTCACCATTAGTTATCTCAACATACGAATAAAAAACAACAAATATGAAAATTGTTTTCTGATAATACCATTAAAACAACCTTGAAATACCATGCTCTGACAGGTGAATCTAAACAAGACATATACTTTTTTTAATTTATGAAACTAAACCGAACTCACCCTTCTTTATTCTATCACACGAATCTAAAATAAGATACATCAATATTATTTCTTATTACTTTATTTATATCGAACTCACCATTATTTATTATATCGCAAAAACCAAAAAAAAAGAGATGTGAATAATGTTTTGTCTTAATTGATTAATATCGAACTCACTAGTATTTACTTAGTCATGTGAATCTGAAATAAGAGACAGAATTACTACTTTTAGTTTATAGATTTTAATCCAACTCACCATTCTTTTATTCTATCAGATGAATCTAAAACAGAGAGTACAAATATTGTTGTCTGTTAATTAGTTAATATCTAACTCACCATCATTTCTTGTATTGCAAACAGCTAAAAAAGAAATATGAATAATGTCTTCTATTAATTGATTAATGTCGAACTCACCAGTATTTACTTTGTCATGTGAACCTGAAATAAGAAACAGAAATAATACTTTCAGTTTATAGGTTTTAACTCAACTCCCCAATTTTTTATTTTATCACTTGAATCTAAAACAGAGAGTATCAGTATTGTTGTCTGTTAATTAGTTAATATCTAAATCACCATCATTTCTTGTATCGCAAACACCTAAAAAAGAAATATGAATAATATTTTCTATTAATTAATTAGTATCGAACTCAGCAGTACTTTTTTTATCATGTGAACCTGAAACAAGTGATATAAATTTAATTTCTTATTTATTCGTTTAAATTCAACTCACTATTCTTTTATTCTATCACATGGATCTAAAACAAGAGAAAGAATATTCTTTCTTATTACTTAATTTATATCGAACTCACCATTATTTATTATATCAAAAAAACCTGAAAAAGCTATATGAAATATGTTTTCTGTTAATTAATTAATTAATATCGAACTTACCAGTATTCATTTTATTTATCATGGAAACCTGAAAAAAAGAAGATGTACATAATAATTTTAGTTTTTAGGTTTTAATCCCACTTACCATTTCTTTGTCCTATTAGATGAATCTAAAACAAGAGATACCAATATTGTTTGCTATTAATTGATTTATATCAAACTCATCATGGTTTATTGTATGAAAAAAATCTAAAAAAGAGATACATATAATGTGGTGTATTAATTAATTAATACCGAACTCATCAGTATTCATTTTATCATGTGAATCTGGGACAAGTGGTAGAAATATAAGTTCTAATGTATAAGCTTAAGTCGAACTCACCACTCTTTTAGTTCTATCACATGACTCTAAAATAAGAGATATCAATATTGCTTTCTAATAAGTAATTTTATCGAACTCACTATGATTTATTATATGGGAAAAACGTAAAAAATCATATATTAGTAATATTCTCTATTATTTATTTAATATCGAATTCACCAGCACCCATTTTATCATATGAACCTGAAACGAGAGACATAAATATAACTCCTAGTTTATAGGAGTGATGAAGGACGATATTATTGTCCGAAACGTTAAGTTATTATTAAATAAATAAATATTAATTAGGAAGAGAAAAACTTGCTCTAATATTTCTAAGTTTGAATCGAACTCACCTTTTTTTGTTCTATCACATGAATCTAAAAGAAGACATCAATTTTGTTTATTTATAATTAATTTATGTTGAACTCACCAGATTTTAGTTCAACATGTGAACTTGAAAGAAGAGATGTAAGTGTTGTAGTTTATAAATTGGAATCGAGCTCACTATGATTAAATCATCATATGAATCTGAATGAAGAGATATGAAGGCAGTTTTTTGTTTCATGAGTTGAGATGGAACTAACGGTATGTTTTCTATTTCATGAATCTGAAAAGGAAAGATATAGGTATTGTTCTCTATGAATGTGTTTAATTCGAAAACACTCTGAATTGCTATGTAGGATGAATCTAAAAGAAGATTTAAAAGTAATCTGATAATGTATAAGTAGAATTTGTCCTCACGATTTTTTTTATGAATTGATGTGTTTCTGTTTAAAAGAACTAAAAGACTATGCTCAGTTCAGACAGGAACTGGTTTGGGTTTTTGTTTTTTTTTTGGGTCTCATAGAAGCTAGTTACCGAAGTTCTGTTTTAGGGGATGGAATCAAAACTGTTCGTCACGTTGGAGTATGTAATGCCTAGTTACTTCACTGTCATGCAAAGTTTGTTTGTTGATAGATAGTTGAAAAAGTGGTGTCGACGTAAGAATTTGACTTACGAGATAATAGTTAGATTTTGATGTATAAGTGAACAAACGCTAGTTTAGCAGGGGATAAAAAGTAGAATGTTGAACGCACTGTAGAAGATCAGTTGACTGTTTAAAGGGATGGATTTATGATGACGAGGAATTGAGAAGCTCTGCTGTATTAATAGAAATCCGCATGTTCTTCCGAAGTAGGGTGTGGGTGTGGGTGTGTGTGGGTGTTGATAGCTGTTAGTCTTCTCTTCCTTAACACTCATACCCCCATGTAAAAAAAATATGACAAAAAATCAACTTTAGAGAGGTCAAAAATCGATTAAAAATCGGTTTTTGAAATCAGTTTTTTTACATGGGCCACACCCAACCAAAGCACGCATGGAATACTCAAGTTTGAATGATTAGAAAACACATCGAAAAAGACAGCTTTAAACTACCCAGAAAGTTGGTGTAATGTACGTTCACTCAGATTTAAAACTATTCAATCCATAGTCCCATTTTTTTCTCATAATAACCATGGTAATCTGATTTTTTCGGTGATCTCCATTTCAAGGGGTGATCCAACCAGAATTAATTTTAATATGTTAATCACTTGTGGAAATGATCATTTTTTGAAGACTTTCATCAGTTAACTAATTCGTAATAAGATTTTAGTAATCGAATACAATTTAAGAAGTGATTGATGTTTTAATCGCATCAAAAGTAATCAGATTCCGCAAAAATGTGCTGTTTTTTAAAAACCGGAATACTCAGAATGTCCTAGAACATGTATTACAAAAAGAATCAGAGTACAATTGTTCTTTATCAATCATACAAATTACTGTAATATGTATCACGCTTAATGAAAGCAGTAATTAAAAATTGATTAGGTCAACGTCACCGCATTTCAATCAAGTGAATCTGTGTTCAGAACCCATCCATAATATTTAATGAGAAAAAAAAGTATAATAAAATTCTTATTAAATACTTTCACCGTAGTCTTTAAGACAGTGGCGGATCCAGGTATTTTTGAAGGGGGTGGTGGATAAGAGAAAAATGAAGTCCAATAGGCGGAAGGGATGGCAGTTTAGACAACAATGTAAGATATCCATGGAAAATCACTAGGAAACAACGTGAAGTTAAGTCCGAAGGGAGGTGGCGGTCGCCACCCCTTGAATCCGCCACTGCCTTATGAACGAAGAAGCACTTGTAAGTGAATCTTTTCAAGTACTTTTTGACACTTTTTAACTAAAGAGTACTATTAAGTACTACTCACAGTATGAAAAGGTACTAAATCATACGAGGAATAGTAGAAAAATGTAGAGAAGTTCAATTTTTCTTCACTATTAATAATAAAAGCATTTCTTAGTACTTTGTCAAATAAAAAAATACCATAATGTGCTTTTAATATTAATAGAGAAAAGTAAATAGAGTTTTTCAACTTTTTCTACTATTTCTAATGCGATTTTGTACTTTTTCACATTTTCGGTAGTACTTAATAGTACTTTTTACTTATAAAGTGCCCAAAAATATTTGAAAAGATTCACTTACAAATGCTTTTTTCTTCTCAAAGACTACCGTTGAAAGCATTTGATAATGAGTTTTTTATACTTCTTTTTACATGGGATGCGATAGTGGAAATATACGTATCTATCTATGTGCTGATTTTTTTTCTAGATTAAAGGTACAGTTTAATTAGTTTTAATCGATGTTCTTTATTCAAATGTAACATGGTATATTCGGAGAAAATATAAGATAGTTGCACATTCATTATGAATTTTAGATAGAAAGAGGATAACTAATTAATATTTATTAGAACAGTTTGATCAATTGCTCTCACTTGAAACTTAAGTGTGTGAATAGTAGCAGAAAAGTTCGTGTCACTGACTTTTGATACCGGCTACAGTTGGAAGTAAACGATTATTGGATCTGAATGGATAAGAAAAAATTCTCGTTTTTTCACAGATAGTTTTAATGCGAATCTATATATATCATATCTAAAGTTTATCTATGTACTCTGTTGTCGACCGCTTGATGCTAGGTACATAAAACTTGGCTAACTTCCTGCACAAAGCATCCCATCAATAATGATTTTGCTATTTTCCGGTAATGCCTAACATGATCTACACTTGAAAAGCTTTTCGAAAGTGATATATCATTACACTTTTGAAATTCAATGCTACTTAGTACAAATTTCAATACATCTAAAGACGTTTAAAAAGCTATACACAGGAAAAAAAATTGTTACTTTAAAATTTTGATAGTTGTCACTCAGACCAAATGGAAAGACAGCCCGTGAATAAGCATTACACAGGCTTATAAATTTCTGAGCTGATAAAAAAACGATTTTCATAGTTTACTAATCAAATATGGATTCCGAAAGTTATATAAAGAAGTCGCACACGCTGTTGTCACTCCGCGTGGACTTCGTATTCCACTGTTTGTGTAACATACATTCATCGCAGCGGCTATATCAATTGTCAGTTTAAATGAAAACTTGATGCGCATTAGTAAACCGATCCGTTATTTCAACGCCACCTGATGTACTACCAGCTTGAGTCATAGTTGATCCGCAAGAACATACATGATTTAGCAGCCATATCAACTAGGATGAACGCTCGGACAAGACAAAAACTATGATAATATGTCCAAAAAAAAGGCTTGCCAGGTACTGAACTACAACAAACAATGAAGACTATGAATATTTACTAAAATCATCTGTTGATGTAAAACACAAAACGATGCATCAAGTTATACTTGAGGCTACAAAAGAACAACGCCACAGTTGTTCAAGGAGAACGCTTTCACGGCCACCATATTATTATTTAAGTTGAGGCATCAGATACTACCAACTTCCCTTTTTTTGTAACTTTCGAGAGCTTCAAAATAATTGACAAGGAACCTGAGGAAAAAACTAATTAGAACGTTCTTGTGGATAAGTTAACTTGCACGAAACAGTTTTTTTTTCATCAACCAAATTGTTTAACATTAATATTTTTGCCACTCACGAATGTACTCTTTGCCTATTTCACGACTGCCTATACCAAACACGCAGATAAAGAAAAACACCGCGAAGTCTATTATGATGAGACCCTATGCCCTCTCCTATTTATAAACACGCTATTAGGAATAAAATAATCGATTAAGTTCCAATTTAACAGAATCAAAACTTATATCCAATGATTATCAACCTTTCTTTGAGTAACACTACATAAAATAGTGCTTTCATAAGAATATAGCAGGGCATTGTCCGGCGTCATCTATACGAATAAAAAAAAACAATCTGCTTCAATTTTATTACATGGTTATGCTAAACATATTTGATATCACGATTGCATCCTTTTCAACTTTTATTAAAAGCTGCAAAACCAAATTTTCACTATATCAAGGTTAGAGACCAGAGATGAAGATTGTCAAGTGCGCAAAATGGCATGTTTCTGTAAGTCACTCCTTATCAATCTTCTCCGAAACAATCCTTAGCTCAAAAGCTTAACTAATAAGTAGCTCTATGAAAGAATGCGACACTTAATCAGAGATTGTTTAATCCAACAACTCTACAGCACGCTGCA